TAAAATTGTAAAAAAGCTCATGATAAGAAATGTTTTTAAAACCAAAAGATACCCATCCTTTAAGTATAAGATGTAAAAAAGGCATAATTTGCTACCAAAAGAGTACAAGAAATAATTTTTTCATGCACGTTTTCCAAAAAATATATTTGAATCTATCGAGGCAGTCGAAATTAACGACAAAAAGGCATGCTACTTAAGTAGTCACTTTTTATAGTACGTGCTTTGCCTTGGCGGTCAAAAGAAACTCGTTAGAAAGCCGGCATCCTAAAGTGTCTAAAACATGTTAAGATTAGGTTGTATGTTCATCTCTGTTAAAACCATCCGCAATTGATATGTTCCAATCGAAAATTTATTTTAGAATTCCGGCAGCTATTGCATGAGATAGTGAATCTACTGTATATTACAAGATAACCGGTTCAAAACTCGGGAGGGGCACCACCTAAGTGTGGGTATGACTGGCTGCTGATAGCTTATGAGCCAGAAATGACCATCCTAGTCTTCCTTATCTTTGTCGGTAATGTCCTTCTACAAGTTCATATGTGTATATACTGGCCGATAGGCGCAAACCGATCAATTATAGGACACTCGTTCGCCCCTAGTGCCTTTGGGGCTTTCTCCTAAGGACAACGCATAGTGACTTCATAAAAACTGAATACTTCCTTCTAAGAAGGAATTGTGGTTTTATTAATGGTACTATTGTAAAATGTAAAACCGCATAAGTTAGCATTTTCGACAACGTTTTGTGATTTATAGTTTTCTCAATTTCGCTATCAACTAAACTTCTCTACAACTGCGGACGAAGTTTAAGGCCTGTATTTCTGCTTAACGTTTATGCTTTTTCTCCAACCGCAAGCTTTTGCTTTGGTATTCTACTGCTGGACTGGCATGTAGATTCTACACAAAACTTTTAAAATTGTGAAATTAAATAGAGTTGTTATGATCACCTCGATATCTACATATTAACACAATCATTAGTTACAAAATTACTCACCCGAATTTCCATACTTCCTGCACAACTTTCTAAATTAAACAGCTGTCGAATTTTAACTCATCGAGTATTAACAGTTTTTAAAGTTATGTTGACCCAGAAGCTTTATTAAGCGAAGCATGCCATCATTTCTTAAAAGATACAAGCTATCACGTCCATAAAATGCGCGAAGACCATAGTGTGTTTCATTCAATAAAACATATGGTTCTAGTTGTAGGCCCCGCAGCAGATGCAAAAACACCGTCTTCCAAAGGACAAACGTCTACAGAAAACACAATCACACATGTTTCCGATCTGGACTATTCTAGTCCTGTACATGGTATTCACCATGTTCAGTCGAAGGAAAGCATCAAAGGAAATTCCAAAGTACTACTCCAGCAGCAACAAACTTGTTTGCCTTTATTAAATGCCCAGCACAGTGGAAATGAAATTGCACAAACTAGCGGTGCGCCATGTTCCTCGGCCAGTCGAACACCAAGGCCAACAGCCAGCTTATCCGACACGATAATAAGAAAGGATAGTAAGATTGCAAGCATCTTCCCCGAGGCTGCGTCTTTAACTCTGCCACCACCCTCATTTACTGTGTCAAGTGACTTTGGTCTCCGAAAAGGCATGCCCATCCCACCGAAGTCAGGCATTTCGGTGGCGGAAGGTATTCATTTTTTTCTTTTTGTATATAACCTAAGGTTGGTTTATGCGTTGCCTCTATCGTTAACTTTCGTTTTACTCTATAAAGCAGGCATTTGCGTCGTCTAGATTATCATTATTACACTCAATTTTGATTATTTGATGAGAAAGTGCATTTAAAGTATTTTTTGTCTACGAAACAATTGACGCCATTCATTTAAGTGACGGGCAAGCGCCCGAACACTTATGTAATTTAGTGAACTTCCCATAGAGCAAAAGAACTTTTAAATCCCAAATATTAACTATTTTCACCTTTTTGCACTTGTGGTGCATGGCATTACCAAATTCTTTATTTTTGAAAGCACCACTGGGAATACTGTACTTTTCGATACTTCGCGATGTTGGAAGCGCAGAGTTGCATGTGAAAATTCAGAAGGCAAAGGTAAGTATCCATTACATTGTTGTTTGCGTCAGGCATACTATGTTTCCGGTATTGAGTTTTAATCAAGCTTAACGTTAAAATGATTGCACAAAAATAAAGCAAGACCTTTATTAATTAATCTCTAAAATAATCTAAATTTGGAATATTTTGAAGAGCAGCCTTGGGTACACTTTGAGAGATGAAGCATGTGACATAAGAATTTTACAAAGAATGAAAAGGAAAACAATGTTCTAAAAACGAAAAACCTCAAATGTGCCGGTGATTATCCCTAACTTCGTTAAGATTAATAGGCCGCTATTCTTGATGCGTTAAGCGTCAGAAATATTCAACTGGGTTATAAGATTCAAGGTGGCTAAAGTTAGATTGTTTGTGGCCAGAGTTGAAAGACTTACTTCCGACACAAATTATTCTACCTATTCTAGAGGGGTTCTTCTTTTAGATTTCTTGCAGTAACGCTTATTTGTTTTGTCAATTTCAAGTCAAAAGCCTTTTAATTTTAAAATGCCGCCGTTTGGATTATCCTTCTGAGGGGAACCAATTTGTGGTGTCGCAAAATTGAAAAAAATATAGTTGCCTCATCCTTGATTGCGTTTCATTTTTTATTTAAATTCAGGAAGCTATAACTACTTTTTTGGTTTACGTGACCAGGAAAATCAGACCAAAATCACAATAACTGAATAGGCTAGCTTTTCAGTTAATTTAAATAGTAGATAACATGTAATATCAGACGAAATTTTTATCGCAATTATAAAATGTGTTTTCGATTCAAACACCTACTAAAATAAGGTAATAATATTACTCCTGTCGCATTTTTCAAGCCTCTTGCAAAAATGACATTCTTTACCAAGGACTGTGTTATTACTGCTTTCAATCGCCTATCAAAGCTCTAACATACCCAGATACACTTATAGAAAACATGTTCAAATAATTCTTTCTTCGCCGCATTTTGTAGCCAAATACACCCTCTTCGAAGTTTCTTATCAAAAATACGCCTTGCCAGTTTGTTTAACGTATCATGCAATAACACATCTGACGGGCATAGCGTCGGAGGACTCGGTGCTTTGTTTCGTGAACCGCAGTGAGGACACGCGGGAATGTGAAACTTCATACTAGACAACATTGTGGTGTCCATTTAGTTCCGAAAAAAAAACTGTTAATTTCTTAGCCGGCACTTTTACCTGCATGGACTACTAGCCGCTACGGCCGCTGTCAGTGCCAGAGAAATGAGGCCCAAGGCAAAGCCGGCAAGTGAGTTCCGTTAGCGGTTGGTGAATGCTCATCAATGAGAGTTCACGTGTCATGGTACATTTGGTGGCCTTACTTGAGCCTGACCTTAAATAGTCGTTAGTTAAGTATTATTGTATTTATTAAGAAATTAAGCAAAGTATCCTTCTGTAAACGTATTAAGACTTAATCCCGCAAAATACTTCTTGTAGTTGTAGTTGTAGGTGAATATATTGGTTGTGCTTGTCAAAATATATAGAAGCGCACGTTTCCTTTTATCATATTAGATAAATGTTTCCAGATTAAGTTCTTTAAATGCTTAATCGAAAACTCAATATACCTTATAATGGAAATTAGGAGTTTCTAGCTCGTCAGCCTTCTAAATGCCCAATATGTTCTTAAGTGTGTTCAGCACATGATGAACTGGAGGCAATAAAACTCTACCCCGATCACTTGGCCGCGATAGGATAGAAATTAGTTTTTCCACCCCTATTATCACAAACAGCTGAATTTACCGATATCATGCGGAGTTTTCTTAGCCAATAAGATTTTCTAAATCTGAATCGCGCTCTAGCTACTTAAATGAAGGATACTTCCAAAACGTATCTGAAAATAAACGTGAGAATTGCATATCCAAATCAATAATTTCTGAAGATTTCCTCTTCGCAACACCGGCAAACTTTGTAAAATTGTCTCGAAAAATTGAAATGAGGTCAAGTGACTTTCATTTTCATTGATAACTGTTGTAAAGAAAAATTGATTGCAAGACATTATATGTTTATTCTGCTTAAACTGCTAGAATGTAGACAAACACTGAGAGTACTTGTTTTAAGGACACTGTGAAGACGAACGTATCTTTGAAAAGGATAAATGTCATTGAGACTCTTGTGGTTAATGACATCCATTGAAATACAGTCCATTCGTTGAAGGCCAGGGAGTGCCCACTTTTTAATTTAAAGACCGCTGCCGGTAGCCTAAGTGGGCTTTATGGAATACATGCGAATAAACATTACTTAAGTGAACGTTTTACTTAGTAATTAAAAATAGCTTACTTTAGGTTAGTGTACAAACCCATATTACCCTCTTTCCCCTTTATGCATTGAAAATTCGATTCCTAACAAAATAAGAGGAAACGTTTCATTTTAGAATTTGATCGCAATGGATGCAAACGGGCTCTCAGATCCTTTCGTTGTGTGCCAACTTTTGCCTGCCACGGGCAAGCGCTTCAGAACGCGGACGATTCCACAAAATCTTAACCCTATCTGGAACGAAACGTTTGTTTTCACAGACTTTGACAACAGGAAACATGATAAAAGGGTTCTGAGGTTAGAGATATACCTTATTATTTTTGCATCGGCAATTTTATTTGAGCATTTTCAGTTCAATATTATGTGTTTAGCCTTCTAAAAGGCCATATGTTTTTAATTATAAAGTGGTTTTCAAAGGAATCAAAGTACTGTTAACTATTCCTCCTGTGCACAACAAATACAGCAAAGTAGTATAAACCCTGGAAATTGAGACGTTGACCAGATACAAACTTTATAATATGCCTGCAAAAACGTAAGTGAAAAGTAGCCTAAATTACATAATGGACTCTTGGGATGTTTGTGAAATGTTATTGTCTAACTAATACCTCCGTATAAAACCCATTTCTAAAGAGAAACTACAAGAATTAGCGTTCTGGGGATAACTGAAATTCATTTATACCGTTAACGCGTCATGTGCTTGTTGCAATATGAGCGAAATCCCAGGTATTATGTTAATGTTGACGTATATTCTAGATGTTACATAAATAATCTAACCAGAATTTGTTGGCAGGCATTATACAACGCTTACTTTTCAGTTGAGCTCTGCTATTTATAGGAGTCCGAGTCTTCGAATGTAGAGACATTTTTCTAGGAATTTTAGTCCGAAGACTTAATTTAACTCACATAATCTCATCTATAAACCAAACTTCCATGGTAGATTTCCTGGGCGGACTAGTATCCTGGCCCAGGTTTCGCGGAATACTTATATATATGAATTAAAAATAAAGCTATTCTGGTGGTCCGCGAGTTTTCGTTATGTGAGTTAATACACACTTTACCCACATTGGTCCGGAACACCTCGCAGTAGGCTTCGGTCTACAAAGTTTTATGTATTTATATTTGGTCTTTGAACATTTTTAAAACTTTCCGCACCTCAGCAGGGACACTAGATGTAATGTTTTTTAAACTGAATGGATACAGCCGTTGAATGTACGTTCAAGTTTGTTCATTTAAGGTGAATGAGTGCAGAACTCAAGTACAGCACGATATTCCCTTTTTTATCTTTTGCTACTTCGTACTGGAAATAAGTGAATCTGAATGCGCAAGTATTACTTTCGACCCCGAGAAGAATATTTCAGAGGACATACTAGATAATGCACTTTTGGGTTCTTCGTATTTGACCTGACCGTGCTATTCGCTGGGTTGCCTTACTAAGAAGTCCTACGGGCAGCTCCTGTGTTTAACAATATTGCTATTCGGGGACAGATAGCTTAATTTTAAACTATTTGGGTTTGAAGCCATTTGTTTAAATTGCAAGAACAAAAATACTTATGTGATAAGGGTATGATGACTGTTCGAAGACCGAATATCTTAAGCTCGTTTCTAGACATAACTTTTACTATTCCCTTTGATACAGATTTGCTGTGTTAGATGAGGACAAATTTGGTGCTGATTGGCTCGGGGAATATCGTTTGGGACTTGGCGATCTTCTGCCAGATCGTTTATCTGAATTTGCCGTCCCACTAAACCCCCGAAAACCGGTGAGTCCAAGGCCATTTGAAATTTATTTTGTTTTACTCAGTGTGTTTCAGCTTAATCTTTTTATATCTAAGCCTGAAAATTAGGGTATGTTTGATATTGGCATTAAGAGAATTTACAGGTAACCTTGTGAGGAGTAATCAACATTCTGAAATTCAATATTCCAACTTATCTGCAGTAACTTTTTACCGCTATCTACTATCTTGAAGAATGGGTGCAGAAATAAATAAATTTTGAATTCGAGGGTGGAAGCATGGACCTCTTGCCCTTGTCGTTAGTTTCAAAGGTGATTAAAAGTGGGATTAGTATCACAGTTAATGTAAGGGTTAAGGTTGGTATCGATTAGAAGCGTTCAGATAAGGACTAACTTAAGAGTACTAGGGCATGTCTTGCGACTAACATTAAGACACGGAAGTCGAAACCCTTTGGGAATTAAGCGCATGGCAACCTGCATTGCGAAGTTGTTCAGGTTTCGACTTAAGAACAAGATGGGAACTTAAAAAAGAGAAAAATGTATAATGCAGCAGGATCTGTATAGCCTTAGTATGTATTTTAATAGTGTAATAGAAGTCCGTAGCCAGGCATTTGCAGCAACCTCTAATCACTTTAGCCAACTTCTATGTGCAGTCCAGTAGAATAATGCGAGGATTCAAATTTCTGACTAAAAGAAAGATTACGGTTAACGTTACCGTCATGTTGATGGTTGCAAATAGGTAGTAATATTTTCTGAAGGTAGAAAATGTAGACCTTGCGAGATGGAATTGTAGAGTTTGCGCAGAGATTCGGATTAGAGTAAGGGTTACGTTTAGAGCTGTAATTAGCGGGAGCCTAATATTTATCGCTTCAAATCAACACTTAACTCTACTCTTGACATTACGTTTAAACATAAGCCTGATTTTGAACGCTTAATATAACTTACAAGTCTCTCAAAGCAAATCGGAAGTAAAAAAATCCACCCTTGTAGTATCATTTACTGTGTATTTCTTAATGATACTTCTTACAGTGAAAAAGCATAAATATTATGTAGAGGTAAACATTAAAAAAATATTCTAATTTCTAAATTAACTGATAACTGAGGCTTAAATTTATTATATTATGCTAATTTTTCCTGTCATTTAGCTTCCGAAAGAAATTGATGACTTGGCAAATCCGACACGAGGAAGAATACAGATAGCTCTCCGGTACATCGAAGAGAGCAAACAACTCTGTGTGGAGGTGATTCGCTGTGCGGATTTAGCCCGAATGGACCATATTGGTTCATCAGACCCATTCGTTAAACTGTAAGTCTCTCTATTTTTGAAAAAAATCGCCAACCATTTCAATATACATAAAAGATTTTATAAATTTTTGAGTTTACTTCGTAACTCAAATCGATTGGACCCACACGTTTATTTAAAAATAGGGCTTGAGTTTCCTTTTGGCTTTTTTGTTTCCGCGATTGCAAACGCCTAGAAAACGGCAAATGTTGGCAAGTAGATAAATACTAAAAAAAATTAATAAGCACACAAATTACCAGAGAATTACACCTATAATATCGATATAGAGGACAAAACTCGTGTCATCGGCGAGAGTCGAACTTACGCAGCAGGGAAGACTTTTGCGTAGCCAATGCTTTGCGCATTTAATTGAATGTATATATTCTTTGCGGTTTGCCTATGTTAGTTTATACGAAAGCAAATAAAGTTTAATGGGACATTAAACGATAGAAATACGTTAGAAATTTACCCTATGCCTAAGCTTAAGGGAAATTTGTTATCAATCCTTTTATAACCGTTTACATTTTTAGAAGTGCTTCATACCCAGTGGTATCGAAGATAGACGAATAATTTTGCCTTTATCGCAAGTTTAGTAGTTGATATGATTATTATTTAAGTTCCTAATATTTTACGGGTTATTAAGATCTAACGTATTACAGCGCATAGCATAATAACCACGACTTTAAAATATATGTGCAATTAATGGCTGCTTTCGTAAGCTTTTGTCTGCTTTCAGACTTTTAAGAACATCCTTTAGTCTATACAACACGTTGAGAGAACTCAGTTTAAGAAATTTAATAATAGGTATACATTTATTTATCTCAAAAGACCGAGAAAAGTATTTCTTTCATGGATAAATTTGTTTTACGTTTTTTTTATATTCTGACCGGTAAGCATGCACATGTAAAACTGTTAAATAGTTTTGGAAGTTTTGACCATAACTATGCTCGAACCTATGCTACAGGCTATCATAAAGGGACGACAGATTTGAAAGATTCACAGTACCCAACAGATTCCAACGACATAGATAGAAGTCATTCATTTACTGGCTCCAGCCCTAAGCCTTCCCAGCTGCATATCACCATTAGTTGTTGTTCTGCTGCGTGACAAATATGACCGCTTGGCAGCTGCAAATGAAACATGAAGTTGTCGCCTTATCATCTTTTGGCTAGATGATTGGTTTTACCATGCGCCTGTTAACAAGAGTATCAGCCTTTGGTTTTAAAATAGAACGTTGTCAAAGAGTACCTGGCAATAGGTGAAGAGGACATACTAGTTTTACTAAAGAATATGATGGAATAAATCATTTACGTTGAGCTGCACATTTTATTAGTAAATACGAAACTCTAAGCGTGATCATTTCGAGGGAATTATATGATTTTAGAATAATATGTATCATGTCATGTTTTCTATTTAAACTATTTTAGACAGACTTCTTGTATTTATATTCCCTCTTCATGAAATAAGTATGTTATTTGTAATTGGAAATATATATTCAAACGTTTTGTTTCTCACACAAACGGACTTATAGCAATTATTGAAAGCCGGCTTAACGTCCTAGAAAAGACGGACAAGCAACAATTTATATGAGCTGCTCTTTGTTGATGAAGCGCACACTTTCAGGCACTTTCATAGATTTAGTTTTTCGATAGAACTGACATGGATTATTTATGTTTCTGAATTATAACTGCTCTCTGCAGCCGATTAGTAGGCTTGTCTTCCTGATCACCTAAGAATTTTCTTCATTGGCTATAAATAGTTTTTGCTAATGGTTACACTGTTTTTATTTTAATGACAATGCTCATTCAACCCTTTAATTTTTAAATCTATTTTTATTTGTATTAGAGGTTGTCCTGTTATAATGCTTTCCATTCAAATGCTCTATATTAATTCACTATGGTTTCGGGCCACTGAACACGTTTTTTGCTCATAAGGAAATGTATTAGTCACAAATCTATCGATATCAGAAGCAGGGGCAATTTGACAGCGTTTTGCAAACGAATTTCTTAACACAGCAGCGAAACCAAATCGAAAACAGAGGTCATACTTAGGCTAAAAAAGTTTACTAAAATCGAGCTTAAGCTTAAGGGACGGTTTCTGAACAGTTTTAAAAATGCAGACATTAAGACAAATATCAGTACTGACGTCAAAGAAGTCGTTTCGATTTTCAATATCCCAATTTTCAGTGGCGGATGAGTATGGGTTTTTGCTCAATACTGCAAGTGGTCAATTATTGCAAAGGCCGATAAACATGCCATCTGAGTACGTTTTTATTCACTTATATAACCTAAGGTTTTACTCCTACGTATGAGATGCTGTTATACGTATACATGTTTTCCACCTACACTTTGCATACTGGCACTCTACTTACTTTTGAAAATGTGTGGCTAATCTGAATTGTGATGCTTGAGAAAACTTTATGAAAGCAGTCATATATGTTTCAGAACACGTCTGTATATTGCTGGTGAAATTTTAATTTTTTACCTAGGTATCTAAGACCGGACAAATTACGAAAAACCAAACAAAAGACCAAAGTAAAGAAATCTACCGTCTTCCCAGAGTTTAATGAGGTATGTTAGCAGAAAGCTATGTGAGATTTTTCGTTTAACGAGCATGTTAAGTAGAGTTTCGCAAAAACATAGTTAAGTTTACTTAAAGGTACAAAGTAAAGTGAAACTCCTCGTTGTCTTTCAACTTTAGAAAGCCAATATTCAATTTTAATTTACATTGCTCGAATTAAAAACCCATTTAGCCAGTCCCTGAAGCGGTTAAGCCAGCTAGGGATCAATACTTCCGACACTTGCTGCTTAAAATTATATACTTTTGGAATTTTTAAACGCCACTGGGTAAAAAACGAATAGAATATCCATCGAAATGATTTTGTTTTACCGTTTAATGTGCGAATATGTTTGATTGGTTCTGTTAAGTTTATGCCCGTATTTTATACTCGCTTTAGTTTAAAGGACTCATTGTAAGCTCCCAGAATGTATCAAGTGTCCTAAGGAGCGGCAGTCGGAAAGTTAAGAAAAATCACAGTCGGCTGCATTCACAGACAAAATTGTACGGAACAACATAAAACATGATTGTTTGATATGAAAAACAATCATTTCTTATTAATTTGGCTCAGATTTGCATTTGTATGTTGCAGTCTTTATTTATTCATCTGCTTTTTCAAACAAAGCATCTTCTTTTGAAGGTTTTTCAAATGCAACATCCTAAAATCTTCTGTTTGCAGAAAACCGTCAGTTCTTGAAAATTATATAAAAGGGCTAGAAGACTAGGCAGATATTATTGCTGGTAAAGGTAAAGGAGACTGGAATGGCCATTTCTGGTTTAACAGCCTTCGTCGGCCAGTCAACTTCTAAAGAGTACGCAGGGACATATTTTTGAATTCAAGTTCTTTACTTCAGCTTTGTTTTCCTTTTGCCGCACGGCTTGCGAGGGACGGAGAATGGGATACTTGCTGAGCAACATTTCCTCATTGCCAAATACTTCTTGCATAAATCAACATTACGCCCTCAGGCCGATCCTGGTGCATGGCATTGATATTTTAATGAAAGTTTCAATTGTTAACGAACTATTATTTCAAATGCGTCCAGAGGAGGAATAAACCGTCGGAATTATTTTATGATAGGTCAGTCCACAACAATTAATAATATTAATTAGCTGAAATCATTTCTATGTAAACAATGTGCAATACATGCTGATGACTGCTCACTCCGTAATGAAACACAATCAACTTGCGTTTCGTCCAGCCTGGGCATTTCTTTATTTCACCGAGATGTTCTGGACGGTATCATAACAAGGGGTAGTCAAGTTTTCTTGAATACGAATTTAACTTTGAAACTAGGAAAGAGTACCTCTGAGATATTTAACAATTTTTTTTTCAACGATTATACCCCGTGTAAACATGGAAAAATTTTGCATCGGGAAACGTACTTTTTGAACTATTAATCCACTGGTCTGCAGAATAATGAAAATTAAGGACAGAGTAGTAAAAGTTTAAATGGCCAATGAACAGTAGGTAAAGGGAGAGAGTTGAGGGCGTTCGTAGTTTTAGTTGTTGTCATCTAGTTCTGTCAGGGGCTTAGGAAGGGGAAATGGGAAGGACGAGCCTGACAAAGAATTAAGCTTCGGCTTTGTTGCAATAATGCAATGCAGAAGGATATTAAAATGGAAATGCTGGACTAAGCTGGAGCTAAGAAGCCTTAGGTCTTGCCTGAATGGCATATGCCAGCACAAGTCTGGAGCAGCTAACCATATAGGCACTGTCTTTGTCTTCACCAAAGCCAGTTGACTCGGAAACGTCGGGTATCTCAGTAGCACTTTATGAATTCCTAGAAAGCCCTGCTTAACGTCAACTAATACCTATATTATGTATGAACATAAAGGTAAACTATTGTGAACCTCCATGTGCCGACAAGCGTCATTTTTGCATTTTCGTTATATGGCTGCCCTGATGACACTCACTAACATTTTAGATTAGAATCGAGTTCAGTTAAACTTATTGAAGAATATGTTACTGAAATTTTATGAATCGAAACAGAATGAACATGTTTCTCTAATCCTAAAATCCATTTCTCGATGATCATTAACTGAGACCTCATCCACAACATTTATATGACTGTGTATGGCATCCTATTTGAAAATGGAGACACCGACTTTATTCATGCTGCACGTAAGGGGGTAGCTTGGATCGTCGTCATCTTTCCAAGATGACTGAGAAAGTGCATACTGATTCCGGATATTTTCACTTAACAGACATAATATAACGTATTAGAGAGGTAAATGGATATGGCAATATAGTTGGATGTCGGCTATTTAAAGAAATCAAGAGTGCTACGACCATCGTGTAAATAAAGCACTATTTTCGACGCACAGGAAAATGCGCGTTACAAGAAAAGCATTTAGAACTGACGCTCGATTTTTGTAAGAATGAAATCTGCGTGAGATTCTCGCCAGGGATATCAAGCACATGACTGGCAAACGCCTGAACTCAGGATTCTGTTGTCCTTAGATTAATTGTCCTCATACAGAATGCGGAGACATTGTCCGGACACAGCGATTAGCCATGGGGGCAGGGTACGAAGGAACGAACGTTTTTTCAAGTGCCTGCGTCATAGATCCCAATCGCCGTTAAATAATCACGCCAGCAGTAAGCCCAAAGTTCAAACGGCATCCATTAAGGAGAATAATACGTGCAATCAAATGTTTATGACACAAAGCGTACCCACGAAATTTACAAAAAATATATCACCGAAAACACGGCGTTTTGTATTTTTATTCTCTAAAATGAATACGTTCTCTACGAACTACGTGTCATCTGTTTAGTTAGAGAGTGGAAAAATCAAAAATAACTTTTGTAACCTTTCATGGTTCGTCGAAAGCATTGTTTTAGTGCCACATGGAGGTTTAGCAAAGCGAAATTAAAAATTATCCAATATATTTTACTTAAAGATTGCAAGCTAGTGAAATGTTTATTAAATATTTTCGTAAGCTTAACTCGTTGCTGTGTTCTATGGATACATACTACGGGCGAGCAATTGTGCAAAATGACGAATGTTGCAAAAAATTGATAATCTCTCGAAAACCGGAACTACGCATTCATCAAAACGCTATAATAATAATGAACAACCCCAGGCAACTTCTCTGACTAAAACAAATATAAAATGCTATGATTTTATCTTACCGAATATGAAATTTTTGGAGAAGTACTTAGATTCCTCAGACGTAAAAAACAGCCATAAATAAGGCTAATTAATTGAAATATAATTGTCTGGCGAATGCGTTAACTGACCATTTTTCGTGAAGTAAACTAATTTTTCTTTAGTCATACATATACATATTTCTATTATGAATTGGAAGTATTGTGTTACCTTCCGTTATATTTTGGCATATTTTGGCGAGCTTCGAACATTCTTAAGCAGTCTTCCATTAATTTATCTTCTGTTCCACGTTAAATCATAACGTTCGTTAAAAGCATTTAGCGAAAACATGACTTTTGCAATATTATTTCTGATGAAAAAGGTGAATTTGACCACATTCATAAACTACCCAAATAACCAAAACATATTGTCGAACAAAAAGGACGTCGGCAGCGGATATTTTATTTAGTTATCTCTTCGGAAACACACTGATTAGATATAGAATAATTAACTAATGTATATTTGTGTTTGTCACCACATTATAGGGTAAGGTTAAAGTAAAAGTAAAGAATTTCGATCTGTTTTTTAAGTAATCTGAAGACAAATTATACAACTGTGGCTGAACAGGAACGAACATGTTCTCTTCATACTGGTGTATCCTTTCGGGTCCCGTTCTAAGCCTGCGAATGCGAAAAAGTGTAGCCAAATACATACTTAGGTTTTTGCAAAAGGTTTTAATCTCCTGTCTCTTGCGCTTTTAAACTACATAACAGCGAAAATTAGGCTGTACAAAAAGATTTTTTACCGTGAGAGAGATTTAAATTTTCGTTGCAGTTACAAAACCTTGATGCAGTAAAAAAGAAGAGGTGATCAAACATCTTAATGCTTTTTAAAACAAAACTTCAGGCATTGGCAGGACCATTTTTTAAACTGAAATTGTCCCTGGTTTCTGAAAATCAAAGCGATTCCTAAGAGTGTGCTTCACCTGCTTTTCATAAACTGAGTACTCGATTATTCGCTTCTGAAAGGGATATTTCTTAATTTATCTTCACGTAGATTAGGGAAATCTCACAGCACAACGTATACAAATAACATGCTTTATTTGTCATGCTTAAGAGCATGGGGCATTTATTTGATATTGGGCTACCCCTAGTTTCGCTTAAATCAATACCTACTGCCCTTAAATGTACTAAAAATAGGCATTTTTCTTTAATAAAAGGCTTTCTTGAGACAAACTCCACTCATTATACCGGAATAACGTTACAACATTATGTTAAATTACGAAGTCCAATCACACGTAACGTGTTATGTCTTTTCAAATAAACTGAATATTATCAAGTATCTGTTCATGAGTTGTTGATGTTCGAAAGACTACTTGTAACTAAAATTTTGATTTCGAAGGTGTTACTTACCCTTCAGCGTTCCATTATACATTTCGTATTTATAAATTAATGTTTAAAAGATTACAGTAAGATGTAATGGCAGTATTTCGAATGGTTACTTGCTTTAGGCTGGCAAGAAACGGTTAATCTGTATTATATAACGGAAATGAATATTCCTGTTTTGTACTTAACCCGGTAGTCCGCAACCAACTTCATCCGAGGCTGTTGTTTTAGCGGCCGAA